TTTTATAAATAATACCTATTCTACTCCCTTGCCATTGTGTCCAGGGACTTTTTCTATCTCTAAACTTCACGTCACACGTCTCGCGAAATATGGGTTAATTTATTTACACTTTATTACCTTATACAAAAACATACATATAAAAAAAGCAGGTTACATAAGTTATAACTATAAGGCAACGGGCGGCCTTATAACAAGCGATTTCTTACAGGTAACAATAAAAACATATAATTAGTAGCTAATTACGAAGGTTATACGAGTAATAATAATAATAATGCCCGTTTATTTTTTTACAATTGTCCGTTTTAGATTTATTATATATGATACCGGAAGATAACAAAATCTATAAAATTTAATATAAACTTGCGTAGGATCCTAAACGAGATATAAATTGTATTTTTTATCAATTTGCGACGTCTCGTGGCAAATTTATAAACTAACGGATATGCATTCGTAAGATTCTAAACGTTTAGGTTAGGTTAGTGACTTATTCAACCAATCAAAGCGCACATGCCGTTTAGTTATCGCTTACTTATTATTTTACGCGTGAGTTCGGTAAGTTTATAAATTTTGTTTATTTCCTAGGAAATTGATAAACTTGCGGATTTTGTTATATTCCGGTGACATATAGTTTTTTTTTTCTTGTTATGCTAATAACCTAACCTCTTTCATTGCCATATAAAAGTAAAGGCCTCTCCCGGATTTTTGAAATACCTCTATCCAAGCTAAGAAAGCTTTCTTTCTCCATTCGCTTCCTGCTAACTCTTCTATATCTACTATCCGCCTTTTTGACGGCGCCTCCTTCTCCTCCTTTTCATAATCCCTCTTTTATCTCATGGAAAGGGTTACGATTATATATTTATTTACACACATACAAAAAAGAAAACTGATTACATAAATTATTAGACAACGGACGGCCTAACTAGCGATTTATTCCAGGCAACCCTAGTATAAAGAAATAAATGCCTAGTGTAGGTAAAATACAAGACGTGCATAAATAAATTTAAAAAAATAAAATTATACATAACTAATATCTTAAAAAAGTAAATGTGTGTGATAAGACTAAAGGTCTTGTTGTCAATATAGAACAGTTTTGATCCTGATAAATAATTTTAGTCGAAGCATATTTTTGAAGATTTATTGTTTCATCGGGAATCAAACCTAAGACCGTGTCGAAGCCAGGTGATTTATAAATTTTATTCATATATAATAACAGTTCTAATACAACTAAATTATTTCAGAAATTTACGGAAATTGTGTTATTTACATAATTATTTGTCCAAAAGCCTTAACAAAAGTCTGTTTAAGGCGCCGCCAATGTTCGTTCCATATAACACTAACAGTCGATTTCAGAATTAGCACGTCAATAAATAAAGAACAGTGTTACTTAGAGGCTAAACGTTTCCCTGCGGTAGTATAAAACCAGGTTTTTAATGTCTCTTTTAGTAGGTACGCAGTTGACATTAATTCTTCATAAGGTAAAAAAAGATCGTGAGGAATAAGCATTACACCCAAAAAGACTGATATACAGAAAATGTCAATTGCAATCTATCTTAACTTGTAAGTGAGTTAATTTGCTGAAATTGTATAATGGCAAACTGGCAAAAAGTAATGTAATTTTTTTGTGCTTATAACACTGCATTAAAATACATACTTACTTTTTTAAAACGATTTGCAGTTTAGTATATATAGCTAACACTTGGAACATACGGCAAATTAAGTTGTGACATTTCACCAGCGAATAAATGTCTCATAAACGATAGGACGACATTGAGTTAGGTGTCAAAGATAATTGGCGAGTTGCGGCTGCGCAGGAGCGGTGAACTATGCAGAGTGCAGCGAGGGGAGTTACCACAACCAGTTTGTGTTTTAAATTTGCGATAAAAAATATCTGCAGCATGCTTCGTGTCATTAGCCGCGCGACTCCCCGCCCCGCCTGCATTTATTAATCTTATTCGGAGAAATCGGCGCATCACCCCCCCGCAACTTGATGTCCGGAGCCGCGGTTAGTGATGTGCTGGTATCGACAATTTTTTGGCCAATAAGCCTAAAACTTTTCGAATTTAGTTTTAGGTTAAGAGAGCCTCTTTTAGTTACAATATTAGGGTAAACAAAATTATTTAGGTTCTATATTACAATTAAAAAATGTGGACTAAAAATATGTAAAATTAACAGGGGCTCTTGTTAAATTAACTTTTCATCATTCGTACCCACTTTACACCACCTAGGCCCATTTCTTGTCGTACTATTTGGAATATTTAAAGGCAGTTCATTTCAAAGTGGTTGTGTCATTATTACACACTTCTGAGTAATTTTTGGTTCAAGGCAAAAGTAAACAATAATCGAAACAGGTCACAGAACAGGTAATAGTATGGTTGGTCTTATCTCATTAAACAATTTTGATAGAATGTAAAAAAATAATAAAAAATGCGATCCGATGCAAGAGTTTTACAAATGTTTGATTTGTAACTCTTTAATCGGCAGCACATCTTTCGCCTTCAGTTTTACCAACCACGATTTGTTTCTCCAAGTTCTTATTGCCTCCGCTCATTGTATGGCGCATATTACAATTCGCTGTAGGAACATGGAAGACAGGTGAGTCCATATGCGGAGTTGAGTCAGGAGCGATGTATTGGTGCGCTTCGCAGACCACGGTATTCTGAGCATTCGCCAGCACCACATCTCAAAGGCATCTATCCTTTGCCTTTGTCGAGCCAAGATAGTCCACGTTTTGACTCCATATAAGAAGATAGGGAATACTAGAGCCCGTATCAGTCTTATTTTGATACTATTTTCTCTGTTGTAGTTTCATGTTCCAGATGTTGCTTAAACGTTTCATGGCATCTTTAGAATAATGGTTTTTAACTAGTATGCCAAATATCGAAACTTAAATATACCCCTCGTATGTTAGAGAATAAAAAATTTAAAGTATTATATTGACAATGACAATGTTCATAGTGTCATATCTTAAAAAATTTCGCCATACTTCTACATCTTTTTTCGTCAAATATTGATTTTATGTTTTGTATTAGGTAGTCAATTTATAACTATGGGAAATATATTAAAACTATTTTTAAAAATCTGGAATATTATGCATTATCTTGCATTCCGTAGAGCATTTGTATGATATAATCATTTGTATCTTAATTTCGCAAATATTATTAATAAACATATCCTTTTATCTATTTAACCTCTACCTTAAAATTTAGATTTTATCGATATGTAACACATCTCTTAGTACTCGTTCACTCAGCATGCGACATTACCTTGAATATGTTACCCACATACGCAAGACAGGTAATATAAGTTCCGAATATAAAAACCAGCACAGACTTCATCGAATTTCACTGTACTTGCCATAAAAAGCATTTTTAATCTGTAATCAAAAATGGAGTTCAGGTTTGGCCAGCGTTGATTTTATCTTTAATTGATATCAAGTGCAATTTAAGGCCGATATTCAAATGAAGGTTCGATCATGCTGGTGTAAAATGTAGCCGTTAGCTTCTTTACGTGCAAAAATTTAAATAAACTTTTTTTTTTAACTCGAGAGGAGATGACTGTTTAAATTAAAAAAGAAAGAAACATTCTTAATGAAAGATTTAACACTTAAGTTTTTTTAGTTTGTAACTTTAACAGAGTTATTCAATTTTTTTTCTAATAATAATTTTCTCAGAAATAATAAAACAGAACTAAAGTCAACAAATATATATTGATCACCACCCTACTTTCATAAAAAAGTAAAATCCATTATAGCCAATTGTATTAATTTTAATTAAATTGTACTAAGTTTGCAGCAAATGATTTATAATAAGCTGTTAATTCTTAAAGTAGTTTAGGGGTTGAGTAAATTAAAGTGTGTTATTAATTAGTTTTAAGCATATTGTGTAAGATTTTAGGTATAACTTAGGCTTACGTAGTTCACTAGAGCCACAATGCTATACTGGTTAATAACTGTTGAGCAGGGATCCAGTTAAAGATGGAGATATAAACTCACGTCAAGTCTTATTTTTTTATATGTATCTGTCAATATTGTTAGGTTAACCAAACTAAACTGAAGAAATCTATATTGCAATAATTAATAAATTAATTGATGAAGTCCTAAGCAGTCCAGCACCGTAGCAGCACAACAGTCAACTAGAACTGAGCTATGGAGGCAATACCGCAATTGTTCATCTTTTACTTTTGGTTGTGTTTATCTATGTTTACTATAAAATTACAGGTACATGTGCCAAATTTATGTGATATAAAAACTATTTTTTTAAGTTTTAAATTATTTATTTTACCATAAAGAAGCTACTTTATATTTGCAATTACTATTAGTTTTGTAGATGAAATAAACTAGGTACTAATTCAACATGTAGCCTATGGTTTCACAGTTCCAGCATAATATACATGGCCTAAGATAAATACTACCATTACAAAAATAAATTACAACCAACCCTAAAGATTAGCATAGTCCTGTACAACACTGGTATACCATAATGTAGTGATATATTATTTTTATAGATATACTTACTATATTCTATCTGAAACTAAATATGGTGAAAAGATTGTTGTTAAGTATTCTAAGCCTTTTGTCATTATATTCTTGTTCACTTTAATCAATTTCTTTATTAGTATTCAAACCAAATAGCTATACAGCAGAGTTAATTCATACCACTTGTTACATTAATATGGCAACTGTATGTGTATAATATAACTGTATGATATACTATTATTAGCTTTTCTAGCACATAATATTGCATGGAGTGTTTTCTATGTTAATTTCTGATCATGTATCACACAAGTTGTAAGTAACAATGTCATGATCAGTAATAAAAATAACCACTATGCAATCAGATTGAAAAATGAGAGAAATTGTACAGTGAGATAATTTTACTCAAAATGATTATGGTCTGATTAATGTAGGTTATTAGGAAAAGACCACCAATTAATAGAAACCATTTATTTAAATATACTTTCTTACATTGTATACATATTTACACTCACATGTAGCTTATTGATTATTTAGCTGGTACAGGTGCTGTAGGTGCTGAAGCAACTCGTTTTTGAGCCGCTGAGAGTGTTGGAGTGTCAGTAGCTAATGACCTCAATTGTTTTTCTGCCGTAGCATTTACCATCTTTGTCACATTGGCCTTCATCTTATTCTTTTCGATAGCCTTTAACTTGTTTGGAGCTGGTGCATTATTTCTCTTAGTTACAGCTCTTCCTTTTACCTTCTTTACCTTAGCTCCTTTTGGTAACTTACTCTTGACTTTCATTTTTCCTTGTGCCATTTTCTATAAATATTTTCTGTACCTAATGTTTTATACAATCAACTAATACTTTTCTAACCTCAACTGCAAACATTTGTAAACAAAACTCAAAGGAAACGTGAATCAGAATTGACACTGACAGTTATAGTCAACTGACGTTTAACATAGATACAACATTGACATGATCGTTTCAAGACTTAATGCTGTGAGTCTCAGTAGCAACTATTTAACACATTTTTTTTTCACTACTACACCTAAGGCGGAAACATACTACCAAAACGCGACGCGACGTGTCGTGTCGACACCCGATGTCCATCGTGCACATTACCAACACGCGACACCACGACACGCTTGCAAATTCAGAAGTCATTTAGCTGACAATAGTGAAGGTCAAATTAGCTTACTGCCCTATGGATTTTATGAATAACGAGTCAGATGAATATTTTGATGAAGATTTGATGCACATTTGCTTGCTTTCAAACTTTATTTTTCATTGATGTGTGACGTGGCCATGGATCTGTTTGAAGACGAGTTGGATGATGATATTGAAGATTTATTGCAGATTTTGGGGATATATTTTGTACAAAAACAGTTAAATAAAAAAAGGCGTAGACGACGAAGACGGTACTGGGTTCATGAAATAAATCAAGACAGAGCTATGCATGGTGAATATCATACCCTTTACAAAAAATTGCTGAAAGATAGTGATAGATATCATTTATATTTTCGGATGAATGAAACTCAATTTGAAGTTTTACATGACCTTATTAAAAATGACATCTACAAGAAAGGGACAAGTTACCGTGAAGCTATAAGCACAAAAGAAAGACTGGCAGTGGCTCTCAGGTATGTACCTACAAAACATTTAATTATTATTATAATTAATATAATATTCTCTCAGACTTGTTTCGTCACTTTAGTTTTCCACTTCTTCATAACGTGTTACATTCCCAATAACATCTCGATGATTCCTTTCAAAAATTTGGGTATCATATTATTCTTATAATTGTATTTTTTCTTATGTTACAGATTTTTTGCCACAGGGAATTCATTTAGATCATTGGCATTTAATTTTAGAATGGGATTCAGCACCGTGCGAGAAATTGTACGCGATGTCTGCGAAGCAATTTGGAACAAATTGCGGCCAATATACATGCCAGAACCTACAACCTTGATGTGGGAAAAATCTGAAGAGGGATTTAGAAGTTACTGGAATTTTCCTTATTGCTGTGGTGCATTGGACGGCAAACATGTAAATATCACTTGTCCAATAAACGGTGGTTCAAATTTTTTGGAATTATAAAGGTGAAAATTCAATAGTGCTGCTGGCATTAGTGGATCCTAAATACAAGTTCTTGGTTATAGATGTAGGCTCATATGGAAAAAACAGTGACGGTGGACTATTTAATAAATCTGCACTTGGAGAGTCGTTAGAACAAGGCAAATTAAAAATGCCTGCTGATAAACCCTTAGCTTCCGAATTGGAACCATTACCACATGTAGTAGTGGCAGATGAAGCTTTTCCTTTAAGGTCATATTTAATGCGGCCGTATAGTAAAAATGATGTTCGCAACAATGAGCCTAATAAAATCTACAACTACCGTCTAAGCCGTGCTAGGCGTATCGTTGAAAATTCTTTCGCCATTTTAAGAGCAAGATGGCGCGTTTTCGCCAAACCTTTGGAAGTACAACCTAATATGGTTGACAAAATTATTTTAGCAACATGTTGCTTACACAATTATTTAGGTACTGATAATTTGCCATCAGACTCTAATACAAGATAATGTGACGCCGCTGGGGCCTACAGCTTTGGAGGACTTGGACACTCTGCGCAGAAATTCTACACAGTATGCTTTTTCTGTTCGAAATAAATTTAAGGAATACTTTAATTCCAACGAAGGTGCAGTGCCGTGGCAAATAGATATTGTAAGGAGAGGAAGACAAAATATTTAATGTAAATCTGTGTTGTATTTTTACGTGTATTTGTTGTGTGTATATTTCTAATAAACTAAATTGATTAGCAGATTATTTATATTAAACTAACAACACACTGTTTTGTTTTCCCTGTTTTTTTTTTATTAAAAAGGACATATACAAGAAAGCATATTTGCTGTAAGTAGACATATTGCAATTGTTCACCAGAGCCAAAAACTTAATTAATTTTGGAAAAAAATTAAAGTGTGAACCTATCCATGATATTCTACCATTTTTGAAACATATATTTATTAACTGCCAGTCACCATTTGCAATGTAAACTTTTTATCCAAAGTTACTAAAAGTACGTGTTTGGCTAGTTAAGATACAGTTTTTTAAATCACAAACCTTTAAAACGCTGTAACTAAGGAAGAAAATGTACGCGCGGAAATATTATCAATTTACAGGGGTAAATATCTGTATATAAATTTATGTATTTGTACTTTCAATTGCAATTCAAATTAATAGTTTATAATTATGATTAGATCTAGAAATGCAGTGGGTCATTCGGTAATTAATTTTGGTTGAAATAAAATGTCGTAAATGGTAAAAAACTAAAACTGTAGGTTCCCTAAGCTTGCTGTAAGTAAACGAATGTAAAAATCACACGCCGCAGAAATGCTGTAAGTAGCGTTAAGTTTTTAAATGGGAAATGTAAGTATTTGTAAAGAAAAATGCAGTTTTTCTTTTGTAAGTACAAATTGTCTAAAACTACTGGATTTTGGTCTACATACAGCATTTAATCTTGCTAAAAAAATATAAGTACGGGCTTTTCAAGCGTATTAAATTTTTTTTCATCGTAGAGACACAGGACCCGAAACATTCATCGGTTTTTTTCTGATTCTAATGGCAGTAAAAAGTCACTTTAGGTATTTTGTCTACTTACAGCAAATATGCTTTCCTACGTCGATATACAAGAAAGACACTACATTTCGCGAATCCATTAGCACTAAAGAAAGACTTGCTATTTGTCTGAGGTAAGTACCGAAAATAAAAATAACTTAAAAATATGCGACTGTTCAGCTTCTACTTCTACTTCAAGATGATGAAAGATTTCATATGTACTTTCGGGTTACTAAAACACAATTTGAGGAAATACACGTTTTTATTAAAAAGGACATATACAAGAAAGACACGCGCAATTTGCGAATCCATTAGCACAAAAGAATGACGATAGAATAAGACTAAAGAAATAACTTGTCATAAAATTATAATAATGTATTAAAAGAAATGGTTAACAATAGAATATTATACAAAATTGTCATAAAATGCTTTTAAACTGTAGTTTTCATTCTGCGACTGTTCAGCATCAACATCTACTTCTGTATTCTCTTTTTCTGATTTCATAACTTTTAGAATCTTATTTTTTTTAGGAATAATTTTGTAACCAGTGATATTTATTGGAGTATTCAAAATTTGTTCACGGCTATTTAACATTTTCATTTCCGATTCGTGTATAAGCTTGTGTAATTGAAATTTAATATCAGCTTGGTCCGTTTTAGGTAACTTTTTTAGTTGCTTACTCATTGATAAAAAGAATAAGTCATTCTCGTCCATATCTGATACTGCTCTCTTCTGCCTCATTTCCTGTGTTTTTTTCAGTACATTAACCATTTCTTTTAATACATTATTGTCATTATCATTTTTGTCTATACGTCTCGTGGTAAAACTTGCACTAGAATTTTGAGTATTTGCAATAGATGGCCTTAAAGAGGAGGTCCCTGGAGTGGGAGAACGTATGGTAGGTGGAGGTGAAACTGCAGATTCTTCAGAAAATTGATATTCGAAATCTTGTGTCGAATCGCCATCATTTGATTTACTTAAATTTGTAAATGTAGATCTTCCTTCAACATATGGGAGCAGAAACTCCATTTGCTTTTCAAATTTCCAAGGAACTGCTTTAGCTGCTGCTTGTCCACTTTTCTTGTGGCGTCTTTTTAAGGCATTGGTGAAGCAGTTTCTTAATTTGCTCCACTTATTTTTTACTTCTTCAACTGGAAAAAAAGATTATTTAATTATTACAGGTTTTTAGCTACAGTTTATTTAGAACATTGGGATTCATCTTTAGCATGGGATTCAGTACTGTACGACGAATAGTACAAGACGGTCAAGGTGGCGTGTTTTTGCTGGTCCTATGTCAGTTCTACCTGACATGGTCGACAAAATAATTCTAGCTACGTGTTGCTTACATAACTATTTAGGCACGGATAATTATTGTGATTCACAACAGACGAATCTGACAGAATCTACAGCCTTTCACGATTTAAATCCAATTCGTATAAATTCCACATAGTATGCATTTTCAGTCAGAAACAAATTTTAGGAATATTTTAGTGGTCAAGGCGCCGTTCCGTGGCAGCTTGATATTGTAAGGAAAGGTAGACAAAATTAAAAACTTGCAACTCATACAAAAGTCTTGTAATAAATAATATTTTAATAAAACTTACCGTTTGTATTCATTTGTTCGGCGATTTCTTCCCATGCATTATTTCTCACAGTATGGTCCTTGTATTGAGGTAATCTCATGTCATACAAAACAGAATATTTTTTCACCAACTCAATTAATTGTTCGTCGTTCATTTCGCCAAATAAATCCAAAAATATCTAAGTATATAAATTGACATTCGTGTCAAAAACTCGAAAGCATTGACGCATGACGTCATCATCACAACATCCACAACACGCCGATCCAAATCGATTGGATGTTACCGCGTGTGATCACATGGCGTGTTGTCTATGTGCATCTGACCATATTAAATATATGGGATTGATAAGTACTGACATGCGTCGGATGGCGTGGTGTGGCGTCGCGTTTTGGTAGTATGTTTCCGCCTCTATTCATAATTTTTACATATACAGTGGATTTCGCGTATAACGACGATGAAGGGACCACTTTAATTTCGTCGTTATATCTGGAATTCGTCACAGGCAATGGTAGAGATAAAGACACGTACATGTGTATAGTTTATATTAATTTATTTTTGAAAACATTTGCACACATAATTATTCACTGGTACATTTATAAAATCACTCGGAATATCACATTGAATTTGAAACTGACCCATAAATTTAACTGCAAAACCTAAACGTTCACCTACCTACTTAGCTGATATCTATAAACAAAAGGTAACATATAGCCACATGAATTTTGTACTTAAGTATGCTTTAAATTCAATTCATATAATTTAGATATAGCATTGTTATAGCTAAATTATCGCTACGTCGTCGTCAAGGTCGTAATAAGTATATGAAATCCACTGTACTTAGTAATAACGAGAAATTTTATATTAAGAATAGCCATAAGTTCCTCCAATTTAATGGAAGCAGAGAGGGTCCTCGACCAGTCGGTCCATCAGGCCGACCCGATGCCTGATGGCAAAGCGCACTTCAGGGTATGACGTTATCGTACTGCTTGTAGCCGCAAATTGTAGGTGTCGCAGTGTGTGCATCCAGTAGCAATTTTCAAGTTTTTAGCGCCGGTACTCCGGCGTACTACCGGCTTCTAGTAGTAATATGCTATGCAATTTCGATGTAATATTCTCAGTGTACATTTAATTGTGGCCATTATAAAGGAGCAACGATAGCACAATTTATGAATTAGTTACATTTTAGCGAAGGGCTTAGGATGGGTTTTCGATTAAATCTCAGTCAGCTTGATTTAAATTATCAATTTTTAAATCATGTTTATTGAAACTAAACATGATATGTATATTATGGTAAAAATAATTGTCTATTTTACTTAATTAATAAAAAAATGTTGTAATTACATATTATTCAGACAGGCGAGGGAAATAACATTATTGTGAAGGGGATGCAAAAAAAACCACTTAAGAGTTTTAAATAATTTTAATCATAATCGACTGTTTTGCAGTATATGAATTCGAGTTTCAAGTCAAGAAATATACATAATATATAATATCTAAATATATTTTATGTACAGATAAATAGAAAAAGTAGTCGAATATAACTACTAGCTATCGATAGATCCGAGCGGCGAGAGTGCAGGGGGCCGGCGTGGGCGAGAAGCGGTGCGAACTAGGCGCACCTCGCCATAAAATCTTAGAAAAATAGATAAATCGCTCAAAAATGTCAGATTCAGTCGAGAAGATAGAAGATTTAAGTATTTTGAAGAAGAGAACACTCTCAGGCGTACTCCGTGTCTGTAGACAAGGAGCGTTCCGCTGGAGACCGCCGGCCCCCACCTTCTGCAGCCGCTGGCTCGCCTGCCTGCGCTTGGGCATACGCCAGGCTTTTTTGATAGCTGAATAACTGCCGCTCCAGGGAATAGTTCTCAGCTTGTAACGCAGCTACTTCTCGTCTGCAAAGAAAGTTGCGTTATTTTAAGCATGAATAAGCATATAAAGTAATAAGTTGCAAAGTAAATCTTACCTCATTTGATGAGCATGTAAACGACAAAGATCATCATAAACATGGTAAGTAGCTTGGAAGAGCAAGTAAGTATCACCCCATTCTATTCGAACTCTAACTTCTCCACCGGGATGCAAGAAGGCACATCCAGCCCGGGAAACATCTTCCACGCGCAAGGCAGTCTCCATCATAAGACCCTCATCAGCACTCTCTTGAGCATAGTAGTTTTCGAAGGGTGCACCTGGTAGCTCGCTTGCGTCAGACTCGCCTGGTGCAGACACTGTTTGAACTAACCACGCTGACCAGCTCACGTAGCGTAAGTGATTTCTAGGTACATGATGCACATCACGGTACAACATGTGAAGTCTGACTAGTTCAGAATGTGTATCACAACGTAACGCCCATGCCTGTTTGTCTCGGTCGTAGCATGTGGCTGCTCTACCACCCACTGGAACTGCCAACTCTGCCAGAGCTCTCGCCCAAACCAGTTCCACAGATAATCGCGTGCCTTTATGAAGTAGTCTTGTAGGGGGTCGGGGTATCCACGGTGGTGTGCGACCTTCACCATCACAAAGGCATTCAAGCGGCCCTGAGTGTATCCGCCTGTCACCTTCACCAAGAGCAAGAGCGTATCTAACTCTGCTTAACTGTCCTTCTCCTGATAATCGCACCAATCGTAAGGAAAGTGGCTCTTTTCCAGTCCCACCACTTGCAGAGACAGACCAATCGAAGCTGGCGAACGCAAAAGGGGGTGTATCGAGGCGAGGTGCACGAAGTTCACAAGAGTAGATAGTTCTGACACGGGACATGCTCAGCTCGAGTTGAAATTCGCCGCGAGCGTCTGCGAACTTTGAGTTCAACTCGGCGAGTGAGACACATCGGCCGCGTCCTTGAGCAGCACATCCTGCGTTGAAGCGAACTTGCTTTCCAGAGAAGCCCTCGTTTGCAGTGAAGTGATCTCGGCTTAATAGAGTGAAGGTGAAGTCGACATACACTCTCATGCCCTCGCACACTCCGCGCCATACTAAATAGATGCCTGTAAAGGAAAATTAAATGAGAGTTATGAAGTCGTAATTGTTTATTAGTGACTGTGGACGTGACTAAATCAAAACTGCTTTCATCTTAGTTTCCTAACTGTGATATCGATATCATTATTCGTATAAACTGCCAAATTGTTCAACCATAATGATGTATGAAACTCATCCCAATTAATTCCTTCGAACGACTTGTACTGTAACTTATATATTCCGACCTAAATACTATTTTAAACAATATTGTATTTTCACACGAAAGCATCATAATCTATTAATTCTCCCATACAGCGGTCCTGAAGGTTTCAAATGTAGTTTACAAATAGTATTTAATGAACAAATAGGTACCTAGAGATGTGTCTGTACGGCTGAAAGCAACGGCCCATCGCTGGTGCGCGCATGTGAAGTCCTTGGAGGTGACGTCACGGTCAGGCTCACGTGTCGCCGATCTCGTCACGACGAAGGTAAAGACGTGTGTATCGGCGCGGTCTTTGAGCCGCGTCGCGCGGTACAGTAGCGCCATGCGCCCGCGCGCCCCACTTCCGCCCCGCCTGCAACTGTCATGAAACAAAATTGTGTAATAAAGTGTTTATGATGTTCACCCCACGACAGTGGCGTAACAATAGGGTGGCAGGGCTGGCATAATGCCACGGGCCTCCGACCCAAGAGATATTATGTTCTATGGATGAATGTGAAGTCTCCAATACGCATTGGGCTATCGTGGGGACTACAGACCATTCCCTGTCGCCTAAGAGAGGAGGCCTATGTCTTTTAGTGGGACATATACAACGTGTAATTGAGTACAGTGAAAATCTCGAAGTTTTTAAAATTAAACTGAATACAACGTGACGGCTCTATCAATATAAATCATATTGATAGGGCCCCATCAAAAGAATTGCCACGAAAGAAGATTTGCCACGGGCCCCAGATGGTATAGTTACGCCACTGCCCCACGAGGTATGACAGCGTAAGTCCATCGCGGGAATAATGTATATTTACTGACGCGATCTTTGTGAAGAACGTTTTCCTATACTGGAAAACAAAATACAATAAAAAATTGTCTTGAATTATACAAAACTAGTGTTTACACGAATTAAGTTCGGTGGCGGTTATTGTATTGTATTGTTTGAAGCTGGGTAACTACTGGCTATAATTGTTTAAAACATGACCCGATAACTGAGATAACATTAGGGGTAGTGGGGTTGCGACACTGGATTAAAAACTAACTTGACTTATTGAAGAATTCGTAAACCGAATTGACACTTATGTTATTGGCCATTATCGGAAACGAGAATGTTAAATTACAATTTATGAGTGTGGTAAAACGTATAGGGCTCATATTGACTTCAAGTGGTTACATAACTCACTCATGATTTTTTTTTAACATGTAAAAGTTAGATATATCCGGACTTTTTAAATACATTGATATCTTCTTTAAAAATGTAGTATAACACTTTGCTCTATTGTCAAGAATTTCCGCAGAGTACGTGATATAGCGATTTTATTGGTATTTTTCTCTATGGTGATTTTTTCAAATCGGTCTAATAAATTTTGACCCTAGTCAATACAAACAAAGAGACAATCAAATCTTTCCTCTTTATAATATTATTGAATTTCATTACAGTTTCAAAACGAGGTAAAAAAATTAAGACCGTTACGACAATAATACGTATAATTTGTATTTACAATTTTCTTAACCTACAAAGTATTATTTAAAAAAAATTATTTAAAAAGAAATTTAAAAATTTTGGTCCTTGGATATATATAGTGGAGCATTTTCTATCGCCAAAGCCGCATACAGAGCTCTGGAGGCCTCGGGGAAACAAACGAGTAGAAAATTATTTTCCAAATAAAATGGAAAAGTTTTCCAATAAATAATGTATTGTGAAACCAATTGTAGAATTCAAAAATTCAAATATCATTGAATCATATAGGTAACACTATGTACACTTATGATCGTCAAAAAAAAAGAAATGTATATGAAATGCTTCTAACTTTACATTTAGTGCCAGCTCTCAAATCAAGGGCGTAGAACTGAAGAGAAGATCTGGCAATAACCTCTCCGTCTCCGCCACTCTTTTCAATCGCCATGTTTTTTTTTTACACAACGTTTGTAAGGAGCTGCAACCATTACACCATTACACCAGAATATTAGATAGTAGATTCTTTTATTATTAAAGT